GAACTGTAAGGAGTTGGGGGGTGGGGGGAGAGGGGCATTTCCCCCTACTGCTTCCCTGTAGTGCAAGCCTAAAACTGAAAAGTGAAACACAACACCCAGTATCGCTCACTAACACCCCTCTGAACCTCCTAAAGAACCATCATCTGTTACAAATGCTTGTAGTGCATATTCCTAAGTGTCATTCCCAGAAAACTGAACCTGTGGAAACTTTCATAATTGAGTTACTGACCTTTACAGCTTTTTCAAAAGAGAAAGGTGTAAAAAAATGAGTCACAATTACACTACCACTCCAGAGCATCTGAATTTCTTCAAATCTGATGGCTTAAGAACTGTTTAATTCTCGGCGCCCTCTCTGATAAACTCAAAAATAAAAAAATCTGCTTTTGTTAGCTCTGATTTATCTCAATCTTCAAGTTCTATTGGCTTCTGGATATATCATTTAGATAATCCTCCATTTTATAAACCATGTCCAAAAGCTCTAGTCACTCAGGATCACCATTCTTAGAACAAAAAACAATCAACCAAACTCTTTCCCAAATTTCTCACTCTGGTCCATTGAACCCTAATTCTCCCAAATAAAAAAACCTGAGAACAATGTAAATGGAAAAAGACCTTAGATATCTATGAGTCCCGCCTATACACTGTGCAGATAGGAGGCTGTGTAACTTGCCCAGCACCACTGTTAGGAATAGAATTCATGGCCTCCATATAAGCAAAACAGACAAATAAACCACAATAATAACAATAAAAATTGAAAATAAACTCAGAGGCAGATATCCTGAATTATTCTGATTCTAATATTCTTTATACTTGAGTTCTTCATCTGAATGATGGAGAAAATAGTGACCACCTTTCAGAATGCAGTTAAATGAGGTTATTTACGACAGTGAACAGGAAGGACATGGTAGATGTGTAAGAAATGTTTATTGAATCAATCACTCCTTAAATAGGCCATTTCTAACAGTATTAGTTCTCTCTTACTGTTCCTTCTCTGACTCACCTCTTCCCACCATCTTTACCCTAAGGCCCTAACCAACCTGCAAAAGCAGGTCATAACTAATCTCACTTTCCCATTTCCAGCCAAAATCTATCCACACACTACACAGCCTTGTCAATCTTTTTAAAACTCTCTCCCCTATTAAAAAACCTAAAATACAGTTTCTACTGCCTCCTGGCAAAAAGACACAATCCTCATCCCATGTTCACCCCTAAGTACCACAATCTGGCCCCATGAGCCTGACTTTCAAAGCATTCTTCCCATGGTTCCAGTGTGCACACTCTGTTCTCATTAGGCTGGGTTCCTGGGCACGCTCGCTCTCAGTGGTGAGGACAAGCTATGCTATCCCAACCCTTCCCAGACTCCTAGCAAATTTAGATGGACTTTCTTCCCAGAGCCAAAAAGGCATTAATTACATCCCACCCCGTATTGTTCTCTAATTGTTTCACTCATCAATGTGGTCATTCTGCTTCTCTGAATAGATTTGTAATTCTTTGACCAATTTTTAATATTTACGAAATATCCCCTCGACAGTGCCTGAAACGTAGTAAACTGGAAAAAATGTAAAAGAGAAAAATCTGAATAATCTCTATTCTTATAAAAACAAATTATAGAGTTTTCCTACAGTGCCGATTCACATGCTTAACCATTTTCCTTGAAATGACATCCTGAATATGGCAGAAATTTATAAGCAGAGAAAATTAGCAATTGAACAACACATTTTTATACTATAAAACAGCATTGCTTCTATAAAATAATCTATCACATACTTATCACATGTAGTATATTTAAGGCAAAAATCAGTAATTTCTTAAATTAAAAAAAAACATTACATCTACATTGTGAAATATCTTCTTGAATCGAAGCAACCATGTCTGCATTTGTGGATACTGAGCAGGGAATATGCTAGTTTAAGGTTCAAGGTAAAAGTTTCTAAGGCTGTTTTTATCCAGTTCCAAAGTTGTAGATGGGAACTCTGTTCCTCATACCTCACTTTTCACAATGTTGATGGTTAGTTTTACATTTACTGCTTTTAAGATAGCCACATCCTACCTGTTTAGGGAGTGCCAGCTTTACAAAAGCACAAAATGTACTCAGAGCTTCTCTGAACAACACCCTAAGGGCTTCTGAAAATTTGGCTATCATGTTAAATAACTGAGCTATTTGGTGAACTATTTAGTTCATAAAAAATAAAATAAGAATTAAAAAAAGTCAAACAGATTGCATTGCTGAGTCAACTATCTGATTCCAACAGAACGGCAATTCGATGTCTCACATAAACAGTGGCTAAGAACCGTAGATCATCTGTCACAGTGATATCATTTTTCACTACATTCTCACTTAATTTCACATCTTGTATTGTACTTTGCAAAGTTTATGGGAAAAAGAAGAAGAAAAAAAATCTTCTGTTTGCACCATAAACTTCTATTTCAGTATTTATGTGGTGGGACCTTGTAGCAGTTGGGGTGCTTTCTTATCATAGTACACCCCTCCTCTGCTAACTTTTCCAGCAGTGACAACTGAATATTATTATAGTCATGATAGTCTTCCAGAATAAGATATATTCAGGTCTTTTTAAGTGGGGAGTTTGGCTAATTAGATGAGTATCCTATGCCCAACTCAACAAAAGCTAACAGGGAAGCTATATTTTACCCATAGTGAGAAAGAGAGTGTATAAAACAATCTTTCACTTTAACATTACTACACTGAAAATTTAATTCACTAAGTTTTAGTGTTTTCATGCTTACAATTCCCTAATCTATTAAGAAAGCAGTTTTGCCAGTTTCTTTCCTTTGAAATCGCTCCAACTTTGTACTAGAGATCTTTCTGAAGACATTTGGAGATTTAATTTCAATGGTGCACAAAACTGAAGATAGAACCATTTGCTTTAGGTTAAAATATACTTATTTTGGAAATCTTGAATGTCTCCTCTTCAATATAATCAATCACACATTAAATTTAGTTTAATGTGTTTATGAGAACTGAATTAATCAAGTGTCTGGTAAAATGCTGCAAAACAATAGATATTATTTGAATGTAGATATTAACTGAAATTAAATAAAACTATTTCCAAATACAGGTTTCTTAAGAGAGTGAGTTTGGCCATCCTAGGTTACAATTTTCAGAACTGATCTAAATTCCTCCTAAGGACACTGTGCTCATGGTATTAGAATCAAAGTTTTGAAATAAAAGACACACTATGTGCATAGTTTCTCTTCTACTTAAAAAAAAGCAACAACTATAAGTCTGTTAACTGTATGGATAATGGATAAGCATTTTATTCATTTGATTTAATTACATTTTTTCCAGGATATAAAGAGTGTGATAGAGCAAACTCGAAGGTGTGGAACTCAAATGACAGTTATGAAAAATTCAGATACCTTGTTGCCTTCAAAGTTATATTAATTACTGCACTTTAGTAAAAGTGTGTATTATTTGGCCACCTTTTTGGCCACCTACACACTCCATTCCTCAACCATAGAAGTAAATATGCCTAAAATTGGTGCTGGTTTTGATAAGCCATGATGATGAGATCAGACTTCATTCTAGTTCCTGGAACGCAGAGCTGTGATCACGCAGCGACTTGTGGGCAGTTAGGTCACATAACTCTCCTTGTCACCATAGGTCGTCGTCACTGATTTGAAGCCAAGACTTGTGCTCTAAATATATTATACCAGTTAAAGAGATGTGTTGTGGAATATCTGCTTTGTCAAATGAAAGGGAAGGTGGGAGGGGAAAAGAAACTATGGCTCTATTTTTAAATGCAAGGAATTCAAAAGTATAAATGTTATACAACAATGTCAATGTACTTAACATCACTGAACTGTACACATAAAGTGGTTAAAATGGTAAATTTTATGCTATGTACATTTTACCACAATTTAAAAGGAAAAACTATATGAGTGTGAGTTCTGAAAACTGTGTCCTCGGGTTTCAGAAGTTTATTATACTATGGGTTTCAGAAGTTTCTCACAACTGTCTAATAAATTCCCAAGTCCAATATATAGTTGGTTATAAGTCTGCCACTGTGACCAGGGTGCTCTTCCTGTAACAAAGATCCTATTAAACCAGTCTGCTTGGGGCCTAAATAAGCATCCACTCATCAGGAATTAGAACACAGCACTTACCCACAGGACTCTCTAGCTAAAAGTTCCATAGGAAAAACCTCGAAAGAATGATGTAAGGATGTTAGACAAGGAGGCTGTGGAAACATCACTTGCTCCCAGATGGTGTGCCCTTTTGAGGAGCTGGGAAGTGCAGAAACCCCTACCTCCTTCCTATCCCAGGATTGACCTTGCCTCAGTCCGACATAGATGCCACAAGGGCAAGCAAGGCTGGTCACAGACAGTTACCAGGCCTCAGGGTCCCACTGATTGTTCAAGCACTTCCTAGAGGGTTCAGCACCATTCCAAAAGGCTGAGGCTGGCTGCAGCTACAAGGTGCATCTTCACTCTCCTGCCTCTAGTCCAGAGTGAGCCTGCGAGGAAGGTTATCACTGGCTGCACAGAGAGAGAGCAGTGCAGTGGCTCAGAACCTGCAAGAGGGCTGTGCCTGTCTGCAGTCGCAGAGTGAGTACTTTTGCAGGTTGAAAATCGCCTCAATATGCGAGAGGTATTTGAAATAAGGAGAAAGCCCACAGCACCATGCTATAGTTGTCATCACCATTCAATTTCCAATTGCGCGGAGCAGAAACCTGTATCCCTGCACATGCACTGAAATCATACATGGATATCCTCTTACGCTCTCTTTCTGATTAGAATGTGAGCTGCCCTGTGGTCTCCATGTATGCATAACCATAGCCTAGAGCGATGCCTGGCGCTTGGAAGGCGCTCAGCAAGGAAGGAACTCAACTCTGAAGCTGCGACCAAGACAGCGTGGGCAGCAAGGCCTCCCCAATGTTCTGTGGTTGCAAACACCCCCGCGGCTGGTGCTGTCACTTTGAGAAGTGTCCATTGCCTGCAGGCACCCCACCCAAACCTCTGTATACCCTGGAACTACCTACCAGCAATGGCGACCAGCAGACCGACAGCACGCACATGATCCCCAAAAGCTGGATGGCGGTTTCAGTCGTGATCCGGCCCCACTGGGCGCTGGATTGCGATGCGGAGGCCTTGGCCCGGCAGCGGGATACCAGGGCCTTAATGGTGGCCAGGTTGCAGGCGAAGGTGACGGTCAACGCTGAGAGTCCCAGGAAGGCAAAGGTGGAGGCGAAGAAAAGGTTGCCCCAGGTGCGCGAAGAGCTGGTCCCATTGCCCCCTCCCCCGGTGCTAATGAAGCACCAGGTCCCGGGCCACTGGATGCTATACTGGCCCACGCCCAGCACGGGCAACAGGGCGAAAGCGAGCACCGCCAGCCACACGCCGAACAGCACCGAGCGGGTGGCGCGCGTCTTCATGTGGCTCGCGTACCAGTGCGGCGCTCGGATGGCCAGCGCCCGCTCGACGGCCATGGCGCTGGCGATGAAGAGCGAGGAGAGCCCAAAGACAGTCATGGTCAGACCAAAGAAAGTGCACAGCCTCCCCGACGGGTCGAGGTGCTCCCAGCGCTGCTTGGACAGGTACACGAAGATGACCACCGGGCTGGTGAGCAGCTGCCCCACCAGGTCCGTGAGGGCGAGCCAGCCAATGCACAGCAGGAACGACTTCTTGCGCTTGCTTTCCCGGCGCCGGTAGCTCCGCGACACCAGCAGCATGGCCAGCGCATTGCCCACGAAGCCGGTGATCAGCATGGTGATCGGGAAGACTACGGACACGGAGCGGCAATCCTCACCGGTCTCCGGGGGGCGCGTGAGGTTGCCCCGCGCCTCGGAAGAGCGCTCCGGCGCCCACATGCCCGGGTAGGAGTGGTTGAGGCGGGTGCAGAAAGGGGCGCTCCCGAAGCCCCGGGTCTCCTTCATGTTGGCTTCGAGGTGAGGAGACGACGGCGCCAGGAGAACAGCAGCGGGAGCTGGTAGACTGGGGTTAGGAGGCGGTGGAGGTCGGTGGCGACCCGGGCTAGGGCTCGGGCGGGGCTGCCTTCCATGATGCGGGCGCAGCCGCCGCCTGACGTTGCTACATGGGTCTCCGCGGCGCCTGGGCTTTCGGACCACGCAGGCAGCCGCGCCGTCGGCTCGGGGACGCCTCCAGCTCCCAGGCGCGCCGCGGTGCCCGGCTCCTTCTATAAGGCCGAGGGGGGCGGGGCGCCCGTGGGTGTGGGCGTCAGTGCGGTGGGAGGAGGAGGGAGGCGCAACCGAGCGCGTCTCTGGGCTGCGGCGCGACCGCGGCTCTGGCCGCCTGGGCTGGGAGAAACCTCGGAGGGATCCTCTCCAAACGTGCCAGCTCCTGGCGGGACGGGACGTTCGGACACGCCGTCCTTCCCGGCCCCGCGCTTCCTCCTCTCTCAGCCAGAGCAGCGTCGGTGGGCCGCGGGGGGTGCAATGTCTCTCTGGCCTTCCCGATCCCAAGTTGCCACGACGAACCGAGCGCCCGCCCTCCTCCTCCTCCTCCTCCTCCTCCTCCTCCACCCACTGACTTTTTTTTTCCAGGGACTGGGTCCTCCCCCTGAAGATCTTTTTAACCCTGGCAAATGTAACTCACCTGTCCCTGAGTAATCTAGGCAGACCACACTCCTTTGCACAGCTGAGTGTGAACTTTTCCCCCTTTCTACTGCGGGAGGCGAGAATGATCCCAGCGGGCCAAGCGGCTCTGTTCCCTGGGGGCGCACCAAAACTACAACATTAATAGCGCCTCCAGACTTCAGGAAATAGGCACAGGGAAACAAAATAATTATCTGATGGTCGAATTCAAGGATGAAAGAAGATGTCCCAACTGCCACCTCCCACCTAAATTTTCGCTCCCCCCTTAAAAACAAGTCAGCTAAAAATCAGCAAAAGTGGCAAGAGGCAAGTGGCAGCCGCTAGCATATGAGACAGTGAAGTCAACTGCTGTCAGCCTGTGGGAAATGGAGAGCGGCAGCAGGAGAGAGGAGGCATGCTCCTTCTTACTTAAAAAGCCTCCAACCGTTCTCCACCCCTGTCCATTCTCATACCATCTAGACTAGACACTGTTTGGATGTTAACAAGGCTTCCATATTTAGTGAAAATAGGCATGATTGCCTAGTAACATCTTTTATTACGGCAATATTTTATGTTTCATAAGCGTTTCCCCATCTTATCAGAGATTCCCCCAAGGTCCCGTTGCTGCTATAATTATGCCACTTTTATGGTGGGATAACTGAGGTTCCATCCAGGTAAAGACCCAAGGTCTTTCAGCAATTCTCCAGTCTGTTTACTAGAAGCACAGTGTGCCTCACACAGATACATATCATCACCACTCTCAGCAGGTGAAAATCAGCTGTAAGACCAGTTATTGCCAAATCTAGGGAGGGCCTGGTTTATTTGGTCTCTTCACATTGTCCAGGAAATTAAAAGATTTTAAAAAATTATTTACAAACTTCATATTTTTCCTTATTTTTAAGAAATTAGACCTAATCATACAGCACTATGAAGACCATTACTCAGGCTTCAGATTGACTTTTGCGCCAAGACATGTCATTTTCTTTGCCTTTCGTAGCTTGGTATCCTTTTTGGGTGTAAAAGAGTGAGTGATAGGAGATGAGAATAGAATATGTTCTCCTGCATTCTTTCTTTCTGTGATTTTTTGATTTTGTATGAGTTTGAAAAAATATCATTATGGGGGTATGTCATTTTTAAAGGCAAAAAAGCAAAAATGTAATTTAAACTTCATTTTAATATTACTAATTTCATTGTGTTTTGCTGTCATTTAAAAATCTTTTGCACTTTTGGATTTTATTTATTTTTAAATGTCATGTTTCTAATAAAAACAATAGCTAGGAAGGAATAGTGAAGTGGTTTGCTTTTTTTAAATGTTCTCCAAACTTTGGTCTAATGGTTTGAATTAATCTCAATCCCAAAATTGGACAAGTGTTTTTCTAGAATGTCATTCGAAATGCAAAATAACATTTGATGGTATTCTTAGATATACACTTTATCCAAAGCATTTGGATGAAAGTACATATTGAATTTAACTTTCAGCAATAAAATTCTAGTGTAATTATAAAATTTATTTTAAATTTAAAACCTTTTCATGATTCATATAGCTGAGAAATCAAAGCTGAGCTCTCTCCAGTTACATAAAAAATTATTCTCATTTATGAATGTTTGAATTCTTAAAAATTTTACTTTCTCTATTGCAGTGCATGCCACAGCCAATTGAACTTCATAATGGTAACAAGCATGTAATATTGAAAAATTATTAGCCTCTTTTACTTGCCTCTACATGAATGCACTAAATGTGTTGCATATCAGATCTTTGGTGTAAATTTTTTCTTTCATTATTTTGCTTCATCTGATTCTAAGTTGTTGGCTTTGTAACTATTCACATTGCAAATGAGTGATTTGGGGGATCTTAGACTGTCACACAATAGGACACTGGCAGTTGCATTCTGGTTGGCACTTTTTAGTGTTAGCAGAAATAGTATGAATTTCTGAATTTTGGTCACCAGCACCCTCTAGTGACCAAAAGTTGAATAACACTATATTAAAGTTTCTTTTTTTAATTGTGAAATAAACATTTTAAAAAATTAGTTTCAGCTGTACAACACAGTGCAATAGTTACACTTTTTACCCCTCAAAGTGACAACGCCCCTCCCCCAATCCTCCCCTCCCCCCCCCATATCATACGTATCTATTACAATTCCCTTGACTCTGCTCCCACGCTATACTCCACAGGGAGACCACTTCATGGGTGAGGTAGAGGCTTGATCACTGCACTGTATACCTGAAGCTGATGTGGTATAATATTGTATGTCAACTATAATTGAATAAGGAGAATTTCTAAAAAACAAATACATGCTTTGCTTAAGGAACCTGTTATCTTTTGAAGGGGTCTGTCTTCTCATTAATACACAACTACGGTCATTTTGTTTCCCTTTGAGCACACAAACTGGCATGTCTGCCTAATCAATAGACCAGTGGAAGATTCAAGTTATAGTCAGATAATTGAAAGACCATATATTCAAATGCTTTTTTAAAATTTAAAGTGTATATTCTCCCATTATATATTTTAACTAAAATTCTGCCCTAGAAATTATTTAAATCCACTAATTTAATTGTACCTCTCCTGTATCTTATATTTTAAAATCCATATTAATATTGAGCTGGTGTTGATGAATTTATTCTATTTACTTCTACTGAACTTCTATTAAGAAATCTTCACATAGACATGGGTACAAAAACAAAATTATTAACTAGTTTCACATAATCAGGTCTTTGGTTACCTCATTATGGATGGAAAATTTCTGCAATTCTTAACTTCATGGAATCAACTGGTAATTTCAACATATTGTTTTAGTAATTTATTCAATAAATATTGAGCACCTACTCTGTGTCAGACACTGTACTAGTTGTTAGGGATACAAAAGACACAAACGTCTATACATAATATTTTAGTTTGTATTTTATATTTTAGTGCAAAACTCTTGATTTTTTTAAATCCTCAATAACTGAAGCAAGAATGCTAATCTCAATGGCTGTAATTTGCCATGGAGGTAGGATCTTATATGAAACCCAATTTAAAAAACTATGTAGCTTTCATGAAAAACTGGGGAAAATATGTAGTTTTCATGATCAAATGGGACTTATCTCGGGAACCCAAGGTAAATTGAATACTCAAATATAATTACATAACAATCATAATTACATAAATTACATAAAAATAATCAATATAATTACCATTTTAGCAAAATAAAGAAGTTTTAAAGTCTTTGCTAAATCAAACACCGGGGTGCAGAGTCCCTTTGTACTGACTGTCTTTTCTCCAAACGTTTCTGCTTCTTTACATGCTTGGTCATTTTTAATTGAAAGCTGAACATTGTATTTAATATATTCTGTAGTGACTGTGGATGCCACTGTTTTCTTCTGTGGATGAGTGATTTGGAGGGGCTCTGTTAGGTTGTTAACATGCCTGGATTCAAACTGCCAACATTTCCTCCCCAACAGCCTGCAGCTGCTGCTCTCTGTTCTGTCCCCATGGTTTTTCACGGCTGCTCTTTTAGCCTGGGTCCCTGTGCTTTGATCCACCTATAGCTATATAATTTGTTGGTAGGTGAGTGATGGGAGCCACCCTCTCCATGGTTTCAGATGGTAGAGATTCTCCTCTAATTTCCAGCTGCTCTGACAGCTTTGGGTGGTGCCCTGATGTTTCAAGCTTGCACACAGGGGGGAATGCACTCATGTAAGAAAAGCATCAAAGTCATATAGTCTTGAGCACTTTTGCGTTTTAAGACTAGATTCCTCACTGGTCTGTGCCTGCTATTTCACCACGTCCCAGGGGATTCTCACTCATACATAGTTTAGCTGTCAAATAGATTTGGGCAGAAGTTTTTAAAAATTCACTTACAGGTACGTATTTTCTATTTCTCTATGTTCTTATTGTTTCACGATTATTTGTATTTTTAGGTACTATTTCATTTTGAGATATAACATTCATGGTGATTTCTTTAAACATATATACACACACAGCTGTAACCATCTAGACAGTTATATACAATTTTAGTAACCTGTTCTTGTGCCTTAACCCAATCAATACCAGCACCGTGCCCCATGAGGTAATCACTGTTTTGACTTCTATCACAATAGCCAAATATGTTCTTGAACTTCGTATAAATGGAATCAGTGTGTATTTGTGCCCTGGATAGTCTCCCAAAAAATTTCCATGTGTACTTGTCAAGAATGTGTATTTTGTTGCTAGGGTAGAGTGTTCTGTATCAATTAAGTCAAGTTTGTTGATAATATCCTCTATATCTTTACTGATTTTTCTGCATTATATTGAGATGTATAGAAATCTGTAATTGTGGATTTCCCTATTTTGCCATGCAGTTCTATCCATTTTTGCTTTAGGTGTTTTGAAGCTTAATACATGCATAAACATTTACGACTATGCTTTCATAATCAATTGACTCTTTTATCAGTATGAAATGGCCTTTTTTTTTTTTTTTTTAGCTGAGCCATCCTGCCACCTGTTGGCAGCTCAGCTCGGGCCAGGCATCGAACCGCTGTTGCTCAGAGCTCAAACTCTTGAGCGAGCTCTAAACTAACTGAGCCACTTGGCTGGCCCTTGAAATGGCCCTTTTTATCCCATGTTCT